GTCTGATACAACTATGCTGCCTACTGGCGAAACAGCCGTTGCCAGGCCCGGTGCGGGCTCATTCCACCAGGGCTGTTGCAACATCCACTGCATTTCTGAAGGGAGTCCAGCTGCAAGACATTTGCAAAGCCGCAACCTGGGCCACGCCTAATACCTTCATCAGGCACTACGCCCTAGACGTCCGCAGAACCACCGGTGACAATATGGGACGTCAGGTTTTATCATCGGCTAAGCAGTAAACACCTGACAGCACCCACCTCCAGGTAGGCTACTGCTCGCTAATCTCCCATTGGTGTGAAGCACAGAGACCACGAAGAAGATAAACAGGTTGCTTACCAGTAACTGGTGATCTTTGAGTGGTCATCTGTGCATTCACATCACCCGCCCTCCTGCCCCGCTGCTGTCTTCTTCTACCTGTTTTATTAGGAGTTGATACGTGGCGGTTTGTAAGAACTGGCAGGATGTCCGCACCCACCCCTCTGGGCATGCGCACTGGGGCTCCTGCGCATGCCCAGAGAGACTGGGCACGAAAATCCTTTTTTAAAAGAGCTTGCTACAGCACCGGCAGATCCAGCGCAGGCGCACTAGATCCCATTGGTGTGAATGCACAGATGACCACTCAAAGATCACCAGTTACTGGTAAGCAACCTGTTTAATTTGTGCCTAGTGCCTGGAATCACAAGGGAACAGCTCTGTTTGCCATCCCTACTACTGACTAAGAAAATATCATGGTACAGAGACCCCAAGAACAACCCTCCATTTATTTATTTTTTGTCAAAAAATTTTTTATTTAAGATATAAACATTCATTTTACATTTGTCCCTTTTATACCCTACTCACCTCCCTTTCCCCTCCCTAATATATGGCTTCCCACAGTGCTTCGACCTCCTGCCCATCTCTTTATTAATTTTTACAACAACAATTTTCTTTTTGTAATTCACTAGGTAACTATTATTTCACTATAGTAATTAATTTTTAACTTATCCTATCTCCCAAGCATTCTATGATTAATAATTATTAAAACTAAACAAATTGTCTTTTATTTCCCAATACTTTTCTAAGTATTCTTTTAGATCCTTCCAGTCATTATAGAAATCTTCTGCTTCCATATTATTCAACTTTCTTGTCAGTTTGTCCATTTCAACTGAAAATAATAATTTTTTAATCCAATCTTCAATCTTCGGGACTTCTTGCTGTTTCCAATTCTGAGCATACGTCATTCTTGCTGTAGTTATCATATACCACTTCAGAGCTACGAAGAGTCACTGACCATATAACCCAAAACCCATTGACTTTCAATGGTCTTAGAAGGAATCAACTCGGCCAAGGATAGCACAGTGAGAAGCAGATTTAAGTATAATGTTTTTTATCCATGCCATTATCATATTTAGTCACAAATACTTATCACTATTATTATTAGTATTATTGTTATTATTGTTAATTAAATTTATGAATTGCCCCATCCCTACTATTGTAGGGCTCTGAGTGCTATACATAATATTAAAAACAATAATCAAGTAAAACAATTGAACACATTAATTACATTGAAACAGATGGCAATACACTAGGCAATACACTAGGCTAGAAATCCCCAGTGTGGTGCCTATGGACCCCATGATGCCTGCTGACAACTTTCCTCATGCCCACCAGGTGTTTCTAGAATGTGGGCGGGGCCTGGCAGGTCTTTGGCCCAGCAAAGCTTCTGATTGGCCACTGAAGATCTGACAGGCTGTGCAGATTTTTAAAAACATTCTGTGGCAGCAGCCACCACCACAGCACAAGGACTTTCACTGTGTGACTGAAAGTAATCCCTGTGTAAGTAAGAAAATATTTTTTTTCCCACAACATTTTTTCATAACATGTTCAGGGCTCCTGTTAAGCCTAGCTTCTGCCTGAAATGTTGAAGAGTTACTATTAGAATTAAGCTTAACCTCACTCCTTGATATTTTGTGTTTGGCTGTACCTCCTGAGGCCTTCTGAGCCATTATTATGGCCACCACCTGGTGTCAGATTTCCAAAGGTACTTTCAGGCTAAAAAAGACTGGGGACTCCTGTACTAGGCACTATATAAAACATAGACAACATTTAATATTATATACAGGAAGCATCAAGTTTTGTTCTCTCATGGCAAATGTTCATTCTTGCTTTATATCTTTGCTTTACAAGCTTTATCTTTAAAACATTAACAAAAGACATAAAAACAATGAAAAAGTAGCACAGTACTTAACCAGGTGGCCTGTAACAGGATATCCGGAATACAAATCCAGTATTCTGTTTAAGTTGTTCAGGAAAAAGCAACACTAATTTAGGAGATTAAAGTCCACCCACCACTTAGCTATTTTAGAAATCTTCACATTTTTGCCCCCCCCCCTGTTGATTTGGATTCTGCTAGAGTTCTGTTTAATACTCATACTTGCATACATATTTAACAAATATGTCTTTATTTTGTACTGATTTCCCCTGTAGGCTGCATGTAAATAGATTGGCTTTATGATTTGATTCTTCTTTTATAGTATTGTACTCTTAAGTAATGTTCTTATGATGGATCCAATCCAGTTCCGCTTTTTTGCCTCTCCTGGAGTATTAATGTTTCCCTGCTCAGAATAGTGTGGATCATAAGAATTCAGTATCTGTTGACTGAACTATATTTTTTTCAGGATTTCATTTATTTCTCCGTGCAGTGGCTTCTGGGTTACAGGGCAGTAGGGTAGGGTAATACTCTTATGTAAGATCTAGCTCGAGTGACCAGAAGGCTTGCAATAAATCTGTACTGTTCTTAACATAAAGATGTACAAATATCCTTTGATTTTCTTATGCTTCATGGTGGCTGTTTTTGTATTTTAACTGATTTCTTACAGATGGATTTGCAACATCAAATCAAATCGGACTTAGCTTAATTGTACTCCCTGCTGTCATTTTAGTACCCCTTCTCTACATTCTCTTAGACTCAGGTAAGAATCTGCTAATTTTCTGCCTCCTGAATGTCTAATGATTTAATGTGATTTGTGGGGAGAAGGGAGGGATTTGTAGTAATGTGGTAATTGGGTACAATTCCAGTCCTAGATCCTGTCCCAGAAAACTTCTTTGGACTTGTAGGTGGAAACAGTGGTAGTTTTCAGAGATGCAGCTTGCCTCAGGGTCATGCCATTGCAGTATGTACTCTATACAGAGAGATTTTGGTTTCATCCCTGCAACTCAGTGAAAGGTAGCTTTGCTGTTACTTTCACTATTAGAGATAGGATACTGAATTAGGCAGACCATTTGACATCTAACCCAGTAAGACTTTGTCTGTGAGTCCAAACCTTCTTAATTCTGATTTAAGCAGGCAGGCTGCAAATTGGTAAAAATTGGCTAGTTCATGACATGTGATTATTTGTTGATGTACCATTGGCATATTTCATAGCTTTTATCTGTTGTGGTACAGTGTTATATTATAAAGCTTAGCACTAAGAGGTTTTGTGTGTCTGCGTGTGGTCAGTTCTGATTGTTTTTGTTTGTTTATATGTGTTATCCCATTCAGGAAATATTGGTGTTGCATTTCCATGGATTTACCTAACATTTGAAATTATTATTATTGTTGTTGTTGTTGTTATTGTTATTCATTTAAATGCTTCTGTGGGCCTTTGCGATTCTGGTTTCCAAGCATAAAATGTTTATTTTTTTCCAGTTTTTGAGAAACCACCATGCTTTGCAGTTATGTTGCTAGTTTTGAAAGCACTTGGATATGTAATTGCTGTGACTGGATTTGCTATGTCTGTATCAGGTAAGCAGTGTATTTACTTTATGGTATTAATATCTCTTTGCATTTTTGTGGGTTTTTTAAATTTGTTTTTTATGCTTTCAAGAGGAGCCTGTTTGCATGCACACTGAGGAAAATCCTACAAAACAGCTTTCTGCACTGTGAAATCCACAAGGATTTGTGAAATCCACAAAGGATTTCATAGAACAGAATCTATGAGCATTCTGTTATTACTGTTCTATCTTGTGAACAAACAATGGCCTGGAGGTTTTGATACATTTTCATTAGCATGCCTGTTCCATGCATTGCTGCATCTTGGAAGCCAAACCTAAAAGGGATGGCTTTAAATTATTAACTTTGGTAACACTGTGTGTCCTAGAGCATCACCCAAAGCCACTACTGACCTTTTTGTCATTATTTTAATTTGTGTCCACAAACTTTTTGTGTATGTGTACATGCTATGCATGCAGGAATACACATCTACAGTTTCTGATGTTGCAGTAGAAGATAAATCTTGACTTATTTATACGTTTAGATGCATGCTAAAAGTGTTACCTTCAACAAAAAGGTTTATGTGTTAACAAAAAGCTAGAAACAGGAGACAAGAACTGGGAAATCCTTAGTGTTTTGTTTTTTCCCCCATCCCCCTGGGGGGAGGTTTTTATTGATTTTTTTACAGACTACAAAACTACAACAGAAAATATAGGGAAGGGAAACTACATCTAGGGAAAAAAGAAAAAAGACCCACAACTAACTAAAAACCCAAGGATAGGAGATCAAGACATCAGCTTATCACCATGCTATTTTCAAAAAGCTACTAATAATACAATGAACTTAAGTCGGTTATGCTAGATTAATTATCGTTTAACCATCCCTTTAACTGTTTAAAGAAGTTCCCAGAGCATCCCCAAGTTATTTCAACATTTTTTCAGGCGCAAATCCTTAGTGTTGAAAAAATAAAATTCAGAGAAATACCTGGAGAGTTTTTAAAGGTAATTTTTTAAGGTTGGCTAACCTGAAATAATGATGGCATATTCTGTGTTTATATTGACTGTGCTGTTTTGGTGATATTTGGAGGGCATTATGCCTTTTTTGTCATGAAAAAATATCTGTAGCCTTAAAAGCAAAAAATTAAAGCTTTTTTTCCTTTTTAAAAAGAAGTAAAATGTATCACAGAAGAAAAGTTGTTTAGAAACTTAATTTTATAATAATTAGAATCAAATTTTATAAATCAGCCTTCAGTGCAGTGACACAATTACTAGCTTATGCCATTACAGCTAAAACTACATGTAGTGTGTGGCAAATAAAACAGGCTGCAAGCACTGACCTATTTGCTATGCATACTGTATTATGCATGCTTAATACTAGATACAGTTAGTACAAATACGCAGTCTTCTGTAGCCTCACACAGCATGTTGCTAAAAAGAAAGCAAAGGAAAAACTGGCTATAATAAGGTCACAGATATGGGTGCATTTCCAGTAAGATTGTGTAAATTGAGTTTGTGTGTTATTTGCATCAAATTCATTGCCAAGACTTTGACATTTATTTTTCTTGTTTTATGATGTCTCTTTTTTTAGCACAAGCCTATCCATAGTAGATGACAGTTTTCAATAGAAATGTACTGACTTTGGTTTATGTGGCATCTTATGTGGGCAGTTCTTCGAAATCCAGATTCTGGCAATTTCTCCTCTTCCTGTCCCATTCTAAAATAAATAAATAAATAAATAAAAAGCAGAAGACCTATGCTGTGTCTTCTCTTGAAGATGAAAGTGGAGTTTCTGCTTTAGCCTTTTATCAAGAACGTCTCTCTCTAATAGTAGTATTTAAATACATTAAGCTGAGGATTATTTCAGGCATTTTGTGTTACAAGTTCTAACTTAAAGAAAGCAATGTAATTATTGAAACACGTGGACATGTATTCACAAACCTCTTTTTTCAGCTGATTTTGGATCCATAGCTTCTAAATATGTTTTTCTTGCATGTAATTATTGAAACACGTGGACATGTATTCACAAACCTCTTTTTTCAGCTGATTTTGGATCCATAACTTCTAAAGATGTTTTTCTTGCATGGTTCTCAAGTAATTAGCTTATGTACTTGACCAGGAATACTAATGGGAAATGCATGTGCATGTACATGTTAGAGTAAGACTTGGGACTTTTCTACAGCAGTGAGCGTGGATGATTCATTTGGATAGGTCTCTGCTTCATTCCATAAGTGTTTTGTATTATCAAACTACTTTACACAGCATGTCTGTGTCTGCTATCCTTAATTTTGAAGCAAATGTATCCTTGTATTTTATTTTTTATTGTATCACATAAGTACAGGTGATGCAAACATTGTCTTCCCAGAAAGTTTACAGAGGGACAACCTTTATATTATATATTATCATATATAGTAGGCTGTTTGTCATGTACAAAAACTTACAAATTTGTCTCTGGTTGAGGAGCGCTTTGTAGTCCTCACAAGAAGAAAGGCTTTTAAAACACAAACGCTCCTGAAGCTTAAGAGCATTCACATATGCTGTCTTTTCTCCACCTCAGTGAAACGGGTGTTCTGCTTCTCATTCCCCAAGTGTTCATTCATCTATAGGATGACTCCCTTAGATGATCAACACAAACCATTTAAGAAGGGTTGCAAATGCCATCCTTTGTGTTTGGTGAAATGTTTTCAAAATATCTTGGACATATCAAAAGTCTGATATGTGCTGGCCCCTGCATCACAGTGGCATCTCCAATGTAATTTTTCCTTCTGCTCATTCTTGTAATTCACAGACATCCTGGATAAAGGTATCAGTGGATGGCTCCTCATTCATACTTGTGACACTATCATAGCCTAAACAACAGCACTAGTTCACATACACAGTCCCCATTTGTCCTTGTTGGTAGCTCAGGCAACCTTTTTTTGTAATAATTAAACATCCACATGGACAAACACTAGGAACAAGTTTAAGAGGGATTGCTTGCTCAAGTCAGTCTCTGTCTGATCATAGCAGAGTTGAAATCATAAGCAGATACACATTTTTTTTAAAATCCCCTGAAGGCAGGGTAGCTTTATTTATTTTTGTTACACCTACAAACTAACAGAAAAAGAAAGGGGGAGGGGGAAAAGTACCCCAGGATAAAAGGACAGTAAATTAAACCCACACTATAATTAAAAACCCAAGAGGGAAGGTCCTTAACAGTTAGTATTCAGTTAGTATTAAATCTTATAACTTTTCGTTTAAATCAGTGAGTAAAAGAATTAGTCAGTCCGTGTTAGTATTATCCAGCTTCTCAAGTGTGCATCGAGTCTCTTTCATCATCTTCGTCATTTGCGAGCTTTTATTTTATAAAGAGTTACTTTGGTCCTCTGTGTCGCAAGTCATATGTCTCTCTGGTCGAAGCACCTCCTACTGCCCCTTGGTCTTCGTCCGTGTCTTCTACGTTGCCTGCTCCGCCGTCTCCTTCCTGCTGTTCCTCTTCCTTCGATCCAAAATGCCGTTTCATCCACTCATCCGCTTTTAAGACTGAGTCGATTTTCTCCCTTTTATCTCTGTATTTAAACACGACACCCTCAGGAAAATTCCAAGAATACGGAATCTGATTGATCTGCAGGATTGAAATCAAGTCTTTGTACGCTTTCCTTTTCTGACGAACCTCAAACGGGGTGTCCTTTAGGACCCTGACGACTGTTGCTCCCAGCTTCAGGGGACTTACTGCTGTCACTCTCAGGATATCATCCCTAGTCTGTCTTCGGAGAAACTTGACAACAATTTCACCCGGCAGGTTGTTCCGCTTTATATATTTTGAGTATGACCAATAAATCACCTCAATTTCCGATTCTGCTTCTGCCGTTGATACCCCCACCGCTGGCGCGATGAGCTCTACCATCATTTTCTTCAAGTTTCTCCTTGCACTTCAGCAATCCCCTGAAATCTGAGTGTCTTGTTTGCTTTCTCCATTTGTAGGTTCAGCAAACTTCTTTACTGAAAGTCTTGCCGCTGTTCCAACAGACCAAACTTCTTTTTAACTTTCTTGGTGTCATGTACCGTCTCTTTAAGTTTTTCTTCTGTTTGCATCGATTTCTTTGTCAACTCGGCAATCTTCTGTTGCTGCTATGCCAAGTTTTGGTTTGAAACGGTCATCTGTTGGTTAATACCATCGAGCCTCTCATTAATCAGCTTGAGCAGTTCCGATAGCATGGAGAACACATCACCCATTTCTTCCCCTCTCGGACTTTGACCACCTCGTCCTGGCCCTCTGCTCAGTTTGCCTCGCGTGCCGGCCATTTTCAGCTTTGTTTACACTAGAAGGACCTCTTTCACCCTTCTTCAAAAGAGACGCATTTATCTTCGCAAACACAGCTAAGTCTCTTACACACTTTGACGATTCCCCTTCTCTCCTCCCCCCTCCGTTTATATACAACAGTTCATTTGTTTACGTCTGGAATTCCTTCCGGACGCCGCTTTTCCATGGGGGGGGGGGAGAACTCACTTTTAAAACTTTTCTGCTTGGCTCTTTCTCCACTTCATTGCCGATCTATACATAGACCCCTTGTAGCAACGCTTATTCGCTGACCTTCTCTGCTTGTCCCAGTCGGCATCGGCTATGCTTGGTGTAAAACTGAACCTCGCAGTGGGTGGACCGATTGGGGCAAGAAGGAGCGCCTCAATTCTCCGGCATTACGCCTCGAAGAGGTCGCCCCTCCCCAGCGCCCCCGGCTTGGAGCCTTTAACTAAGGCTCACCTGGGGGTGCCACTTGAGGTGCCACCCCTCCAGCTCCACTGGAGCGCGAATCACTTCCCCAGAGGTAGGGGAGAGCGTCTGCCATCACCGAGCCACAGACCGGAAGTCCATAAGCAGATACACATTGACTCAAAGAGCAGTGGTTGCTCCTTTGTATATATTTAATTTTGCTAGAATCTTGTAAACCTTCACCTAGTCTAACTTCTTCTGTTTAAAATCTCAAGTTGAAATGGATTGTTGTACAGTAGAGATGTGCAAGTGTAGCTTCAAGATGCTTCTTCCAATGCTAGTCTGGAAAAATACAGATTTCAGGGAAATACAGATTTCAGCCAGCCATACCTTTAAAAAAACTGGTCACAATGTAAAAGATTTTTCTAGTATGGAATTATATCTATGCTTTTTCATTAGCTATGTTTTAAACAAAGGAATTTTAGAACCACAAATGCTAATTTAAGTACCGTTTTTGTTTTTCAACAGCATGCCCTCCACCACAGGCTCCTGTCATGGTTGCAGGCTTAGCAATTATTGATCTTGTAGCAGTAATTGCCTTAGTTTATGTGATTATTATTGGTAAGTTCTTCCTGTTTAAAGTTATTTCCACAACGTCTGGTATGTGTTATAGACAAAATATTCTGTTGACTCCAACTAGCATATCTCTGAGAAATATTTGATTTGAGTTTTACATACAAATTAAATAAATGTGTTTTTGATATTTCTTATATAGGGTTCCATTGCATGGTCAAAATTTCCTTGATGAGACTTGCATAATTAGAATACAAATGAAAAAAGCAGTTTTATTGAAAGTGGAGTCTGTGGCCTACAACAGACAACAGCGTAATCATGATAATAGTGTGGTTGTATAGTATTGTCTGTTCATAGACCACAGAGATTTGTTTTAGCTCAATTAATAATTGTATTACATACTGAAAACATTGGCTACAGTCCAGACATTGAAGGTTTTTATTCCCCACCCTGCAATGGGTCAGAAGGCTGCCATTCAGAGAAAAACAGTCTGGTCTTTCCAAGTATGCATTTGAGAGTACCCAAACAAATTATTCAGGACATAGAGCAGATTCTCCCCCCCCCCCCTCCAATAAGAAGCTTGTGCAATGAAAATTAGGTTGCATCCAGGAAATCTTGTTTGTGTTCCCAAGCTGTTTTGTATAGATAATGTTCCTTCATAGACCCCATATTGCGCAGGTCCTTTTGCATGAACTTGTGCTGTACAGCAACTTAATAGGTGGTGTAGATGCAGGGTAGGAGGTTCCTACTATAGTTTACTTACTTCAGATTCTCTCACTTATGTTCTAGTAAAAGTATATATGTCTTCCTTTACTAGTAACAAAGATTTTTAAGATGCATACTATGAACTTTCAAATCACACTTTCATTTTTTAGAGTTGTTTCTTACCTGCCATCTCTTACGAGATCCATTGTTAAGAGATGGTGGATAAGAGACGACTCTTTAAAAAATGAAAGTGTTTTTAAAAATTCACAGTATGCATCTTAAAAACCTTTGTTAAACTAATTTTAAAACACACACTGAATTAGATCCTTGACAAGCTGTACAAACTGTACTACTGTACAAAGAGAGAAGGGGCTTGGCTTTTGTGCTGTTAATTCGTTAAAAGAAGAATAAACAGGTAGAAAAAATAAATAAAAACAGAACAGTATGTAAGTATACTGTAATTACGGGAAAGTATTTCATTTTAGATATTTTACTTATGGGATGTCTTCCTTGTTGACCCTATTGACTGAGTGCACAGGGTACAAGTGCTGAAAATAAATTAATAATGATATGGATTATGGGCTGCTCAGTATGGCAGAGCGTTAGGATTTGTAAAACACCATAAAACACATTGTAAACACATTTTTAAAACACATTGTAAAATACCATAAATATTATACAAATATTGGACAATGAGTGAAATTGCTACAAAAATTGTGCAAATAGTGAAATTAGCTCTATCAAGTCGGTTCTAGATCAAATCAAGCCTGAATTCTTCCTATAAGCTAAAATGACTAAACTGAGGCAATTATATTTGTCATATCATGAGAAGACCTACTATAAAAGATAGAAATGCTAAGAAAAGTTGAAGACAGCAGGAAAAGTGAGAAAGACCCTACAGGAGATGGATTTCCTCAACAAAGGAAGCAACGGCCTTCAGTTTTCAAGACCTGAGCAAGACTGTTAATAATTGGACATTGTGGAAGTCAAAACCAATTCATAGGGTAACCATGAATTGGAAACAGCTTCATAGCATACAACACATGAACCAAGTGTTCAGATGCCTGAGTATCTTTCAGCATGTGAATTAGTAAATGTAACTTGAACTACAATGAGAGATCAAGATGTATTCGTTTTCCTGGATTAGTTGATGGCCATGGCTGTAATACAAGGCATCATTAGTTGTCCTTTAGCTCACTGAGTTTCAATGGGGTGCAATTATATATAGGGTTATATCCAGACTAAATTTTCCACTAACAGAAGTGGTGGGGTAATTTCCCCATCCTACTCTGACCCCCAGTTTGCCTCTGATGCTGTTCCTGAGAGCCCCCTGCTCCACAGGGAGATCAATGGTCTGCAGCTGAGGGGCAGGGAGGAGGCAGGAATGTTCTGTTCCACTGACAGAAGTCCCTTCCATGAGCAGAAAATTTAGTCTGAATCCAACCTTTACAGTTCAATTCTCAGCCAAATTACTTGGAAGTAATTAAACATATGATGCAGCCCGTTCTGTGGCTTATGTCCTTTTTGAGCCTTTCTCTAGCTTTTGATATTGTTGGGGTTTGGGTGCAGTTGTAGCCAGAGTCCAGAGTCAGTGTCAATGTTGGTCTAAAGTCAGGGTTCCAGAAGTCATGCCAGGCATGGTCGTTCAGTCCAAAGCCAGGGTTCCAGAACGCAGGCAAGGCAGAGTCCTTCAGTCTAAAGTCATACACAAGAGCAAGCAGGTCCAAGATCCAAGTCCAAAGCCAGTATGAAGGTCATTGGGGCAAAGCGAAGGTAGGAGCTGTGGTCACAGAGTTCACTGGGTGGTGACTTGTTGCTTCCATATCAAATAGTCTCCCATGACTGGCTTTTATAGGCATTTGCTGGAAGGTCTTACTTGCAGCCAACTGCTTGGGAGTAACCCTGCCAGCTACTCATCAACAGCAAGCGGCTGGCGTTGGGCCAGGAGACATATGCTTTGTTGTCTTTCCTGGAACTCCATTCTTTGTCTCTGGTGCTCAAAGGGTTGTGGGTGAACCTGGAGGGCTGGTAATGACCACTTGGGTTTCATCTGTTGGAATGGGCTGGAAGGTGCTGGTGGCTCTGTATCATCTGTCGGCTGTGAACTCTTGACAAGCCTGCAGTTCATCTTCTTGCTTGCCAGCTTCTGCTGATTCAGAGCTGGCTACACAGGACTCCTGTCTCTAATGACTGACCCATGACAGATGTACACAACAGAAAATACTTAGAATTCTTAGATGTTCAAAAGCTTGCAGATTTTTTTTTAAAATAACGAAGATTTTCCAGTAAAAGATGACAGTCATGAAAGTTTTGAAGCGGCTTATTCTAAAGCCACACAAATTTGATTAATCTAGCCCAGTATTGTGCACTCTGGTTTATTTAGAGGACTGGCAGCAGCTCTTCTCAGGCAGGAGTTGGTTCCAGCATCTGGTTCCTGAGACCCATTTAACTGGAAATGTGGGAAGATATTCCATATTCTCAATTGAATGGCTCTGTGATGAAAAATATTCATACAAAATTATTTTTGTGCTAGTTTTAACTTATTTGAACAGCAATCATTAAAATTATGTGCTTCTTATTTATTTCATTTTGGCATATATAGTAAGAAAATTTGTTTACTTTTCTTGTAATCCTAGGTTCCAACTTTAAAGATCATCAACCTCCAAGGGTAAGCTTAAAATGTATGCATTTTGGGTGAGTAGATGGCTCAGGGGATTGGTAGTGAGATACTGAGCCTTTCACGACTGGTTGGAACCAGGTTGGTAGCAAGCAAAATCACTGATAACACATGGCAATAAGACTTGAACAGGACTTGCCTCATTATATATTCAGCTCTATAAGGAGTTTTCCCAACAATGTCTTTTCTAATCTCCTTTCATATACAAAGATTTCAGATTTACTTAATGTCACGAGTCACCTATTAATCAATAATGGAAGAATTTAAAAATCAGAAAAATCAAATCCATACATATACATTATTAACATATGGCATTAGTCCATATTCTGCTCTGTAAGAAAAACAATTGCTATATATTTTAACTAGCAGTAAAGCCCGTTGTGGAAATAAATACAACGAGATCTAGAAAGAGGCTCTGGGGGAGTGCTCTGGCTTTGGGCAAACAGTGTCATTTTGCTGTGGTGACCTCAGCAGGGTATAATGACAGAGTCTACTGTTTTCTCCAGAGGAACTGATATCTGCTCCCTGAAGAGCAGTTGTAATTTTGAGTGATCTGTAGCCCTCACCTGGAGATTGGCAACAACTGTTACCCAGGACGAAATGGCTGGTTTGGAGGGTGGAGTCTATGGCATTCTACCTGTCTGAGGTCCCACCCCTCCGCAAACCCCACCCTCTCCAGGGTCCACCCCTCAAATCCCCAGGAATTTGTCAGCCTGGAGTTGGCAACCCCATCTCGTTCCCAGCTAACCATCAACCTACCATTATCTGCCCCTTTGACTTCAGCTGACTTCCGCCCTCCCTTCTGCAGTGCAATTGTAACTTTGAGTGGTCTCCAGCCCTCACCTGGAGATTGGCAACAATGGTTCCCCATGAAGGACTGAGTGGTTTGGAGGGTGGAGTCTATGGCATTGTACCTGTCTGAGGTCCCACCCCTCCTCAAACCTCACCCTCTTCAGGCTCCATCCCTCAAATCTCCAGGAATTTACCATCTGGAGTTGGCAACGCTATCAGGACTGGCCCCAATGTGTTTTCTCCCAAAGGCCAAAGTAGGTGACTGGACCAAACTAAGTTGCCTACCATCAGGCACTGAGGGGAAAGTAGGGGTGGCTGGTTTAAGGAGGGAAATACCTGGAGTTTTGGGGGGTGGATTCTGTAGAGGGCAGCATTGGGGGGGGGGCGGAAGGACTCAGCAGGTATAATGTCATAGGGTCTACCCTCCAAAGCAGGCATTTTCTCCAGGGGAAACTGATCTCTGTCATCTGGAGATCAATTGTAGCAATGGGAGATCTCCAGGTCCCACCTGGAGTTTGGCAACCCTGGGGGAAAGTCAGCTGCACAACAGGGGGTGGAAGAGAATGGTTTGATGGGTGGTGGGCCAAGATTGGCAACAATAGTTCCCCAGGAGCAAATAGCTGGGTTGGAGGGTGGCGTCTAGGGCACTGTAACCTGTCTGATGTCCCCCTCTCCGGCCTCCACTCCTCAAATCTCCAGGATTTTCCATACCTAAAGCTGGCAACTTTATCTCCTCCCCTCTCAGTAGCCTCTTATTTTGCCTTAAATTGGTTTTGATGCCAGCAGAGTGAGAAAATGCCAGAGGCTCTGGGTGGGTGCCCCATCGTAAATGCACCAAACAATTCCTAAAGATTTGCCAAAACAAATTGATAAATTGCAGTACTTTGAATTAGCACCAGAGCTTTAAGAGCTCTCCAGCTGTCACCTGGAGACTGGCAACAGCTTGTTTGGAGGGTGGGGAGTATGGCATTGTATCTGTCTGAGGTCCTCCTCTCCCTCCTCCTCTCCCCCTATGAGGTATGTTAAGGTTGAAAGTGTGTGAGTGGTCCATAATCCCCCAGGCAGCTTTTAAAACATGATCCTGGGACCTACACACCACCAGACATTCCAACTGCCTTGCGGGGGGGGGGGGGGATGGGGGGGGGAATGGGGGGAAGTCCAATCAGCTTCCATATGCAAAAGACCTTGAAGGTTCCATATGCAACTGACATTCCAACTGCCTTGCGGGGAGGGGGGTGAGTTTGAGGTGTGGAATGCAGTGAAGTCCAATCAGCTTCCATATGCAAAAGACCTTGAAACGCTGGGCGGGACTGCACAAAGCAGCCAGTCAACCCAGCCAGCGTCTTCTGACAGACAGTTCAAGCGTCCATACACTAAAGGGGCCAAATTTAGAATGTTCAATATAGAATGTTCTTACTCAGTTATATATAAGGAGAGATCCTCTTCCACCTTAAAAACCTACAGTATAATTGGCTGTTGGGTTATAATATACCTCAGTGAAGTAATGGTTAAAAAAATTACTTTAAAAATTACTTCAGATTAATATTGTTATTTTTATATAGCAATGCAAATCTAACCAGAGGGCTATTGGGGAAACCAGAAGGCTATTGGGGAATTAGTATCCCACATTCTAAACAATTCCAGTTGACCCCATCTCTGTTTCTGGAAAGTTTATAAGCAGCATACTGGTTAGTAGCTGCCATTTAGTTATGCGTTAATTTTAACCATACATTTTACTATGGGGAATGTCTAATTGGGTGTATACCCGAGTCCACTTAAGGGCTGCAGTAGTTTACATGTTGCAAGGAAACCACACTTGCTTTGCTGGAAGCATCAGAGACCTTAGAAGTCATGATTTAGTTGTGCATGCTAGCTTTACCAGGGGTCGTTTTGTAGAAAAAGAGCTAGGGGAACTCATTAGCATAACTCATTAGCATATGCCCCACACCCTGAAATAACTGTAAGTGTGTCATAAGGCCACACCCCCTGACATCACCGGAAGTGTGTCATAAGGCCACACCCCCTGCCATCACCGGAATTGTGTCATAAGGCCACACCCACCACTCAGTCTTAGTCTTAAAGGTTAGTCTTAAAGGTGCTATTGGTTAGTCTTAAAGGTGCTATTTGAACTCTTGGACTATTTTGCAGCAACAGACTAACACAGCTACCTCGGGGAAGCTCCTGGATGGGGCTGGGAGTCCTGGTGGAGGCCACGTGGAGTGTCCTCGGCCAGGCAGAGGGGGAGGACGCCAACTTACCCTCCTGCTTCTTCCTCCTTCTGCAACAGAATGAGGCTGGAAGCAGGGGGCGGCCGGAAGAAGGGGCGGGGCTTTGTCATGTGCCCCGCCCCCCGCACCTCACCCGGGGGAACCGCGATCCCCCCCAAATTGACTTCTGGTTTGTTGGACAAATGGCAGACAGGGGCAACTGTAGGAAAGCCATGCAATCATATGTATGCAACAGAATGAGGCTGGAAGCAGGGGGTGGCCGGAAGAAGGGGCAGGGCTTTGTCATGTGCCCCACCCCCGGCACCTCACCCGGGGGAACCGCGATCCCCCCCGAATCGACCTCTGGCTTTAACCATGTGTCATTGTGGGGAATGATTGAATGACTTTGGTGTGTGTCCATGAGGACATTTGAGAGTTGTTAATAGCAATTAATACCTTGAAAGGCCAGTGCAGAAGCTGGAAAAAAATGATTGGGTCTTATGCAGTGCCAGTGAAAGAAGCTGGAGGGAAGCAGATCTTTCACATCTTTCTCTTCCCTCAGCAGTCCCAATATGGCAGTGGCCCACGGTTGAGAGATCCTTGTAGACCAATAAAAAAAACATGCAAAATGGGCAGCTGCAGTGAGAAGGAAGTGGTCAAAATCACCCTTGCTGCCTCTTGAGCCAGCAGAGCCTCAGTTGGTGCTTTGCACCAGTGGAAAGTACACATAAGTTCTGTTGCTTCAGACCAACACAGCTACCCACCTGAATATAAGTTCCAGCTGTAAGTGTGCTGCAAATAGATCCACACTTTCAGTAACTAATTAATCTTCGTCATGGTCTCTGTGCAGTCCCACACATAGGTTGGGCACCTGCGCACAACCTCGACCGGAGAAACTTCTAGAGCTTTGCCTCATAAAACTTTTGGCGGGCTCTCTTCCCGCCCTGGGGAGCAGGCACGTACTGCGCATGCCTGGAGCGGGGGAGAGAGCTGCCTCCCACTCAGCTTTTCTTCGACCGCCTGTGTGTTCACACCTCGTTTCTGTCACTCCGTACTTGCCTCAGCTAAGTATACATTTCTGTTCTCTCTATTTCGTTGCCTTCCGTCTTCATTTCTGTTCCTCTCTTGTTACTATTTTAAAATAAATAAATAAATAAATACTTTCTTTTTTCTCCTTCTCCCCCCCCCCTTTATTTTATAGTGGGTGGATAACATATGGGCAAAACAAAGTTTTTAAAACTGTGCCGTTGTTGCCCAGCTAAACTTCCCTCAAACGATGGTCACAATTTGTGCCTTTTTTGTCTCGGGGAATCCCATAGAGTCGATAGCTGTGTCCATTGTGCTAGTTTTACTAGAAAAGCTCGATGTAATAGGGAGACTCACCTTAGGGCTGTGCTTTTAGAGGCAGCCTTGTGCCCTGCCATGGCTTCGACTGTCTCTCAAAAATCAGACGGCTCTTCGAAGTCACCAAAGTTGAAATCTAAATGGCCTGAGGGTAAGGCTTCCTCGAAATCGAAAGTCAAGCCCTCGACATCGGCTTCGACTTCGGCTGTCGACCCAGTCTTCATTACTGGCTTAATGACATCGACACCTGCTGTGGCTGTTGTACATAATAAGTCCACCTTGCGGCCTCCGACACCGCTGCCTACGCTCTCTTCACCCTCTGGCCTTATTCCGCTGGGTCAATCTACGAGATCCCCTCCTGACTTGTCCTGTCACCGGGACTCTCGATCTCAGTCGCCACACTCCCGTACCCTGATCCACCATTTGGAGGGCAGGGAGCATTCTATTGGCCGCCGATCTCGATATGATTGAAAGCGTATTATTCATCACCAGTTGCCTTCTCCCTTGGGATTGCCTTCTGATGACCAATATTGGTCTCCTGATGAATGGGATCGGCCGGGTTACTATCCATATTATTATCCGAGCTTCGTCACTTCGAACATCATGAGCATCCACGCACTTTGGATCGCACCAGACGATCTTGGTCCG